GACCTGCTGCATTTCGTGTCCAGGCTTAACCTCGACATCAACAACTTCAGCAGTAAACCAGAACTGCTGAAGAAGTTCTTTCACCATGATGGGCTCACAGTTGAGTGCGAAGCCCAATGACGACTGCTTGAGGAAGTCAGCTGCTTCTTGGTAATCCACCTTTGATGAGGGCATATCCAACAAGGCAATGTGGTTGTTGGCCTTGAAGGATACCTCATCGATAGAGAAGTTGACATTCTTGGCGGCCATCTGTTTGAGTAATAACAATAAGATAAACAGGTTGTTAGTATAAACCAAGATTGTTTGGGATAAGAATATAGAAACATCTTTTGAAACAATAAAAACTTCTTTTGAAAAATCCTTAAAGAATATTTAGGGTTTTTCAAGTAGAATGTGTATATAGAAATAAGATTATAACCAAGAAATAGATGATTAAATAACTTTTGTTGTTTAATGTATTAAGAGAACAAGATTCTTAAAACAGATTAAACGTTTCTTATAACAGAATAAAAATAAAAAGAATAAAAAGATATTGACCTTAGTTGTTTGGAGAGTAAAGGTCAAAAACTAGTTTGAAGGTTTGAGAGAGTTTTTGCTTTGGAGAAATCTTAGCAGAGGTTCGTCTAAGAAATTTGAAAGCGTAAAGAGAAAAGTGGAGAAGAAGTCTCATATTTATAGGTAGGAGGAGAAAGAAGGAATATGAGAGGGTAAAAAGACGACGGTTCGGGAAAGTCGTCATGATGAAAAATACCACGTTCTCATCCATGATTGGATGGCATTAAATGAGGTAGCGTAATGACAGAACCTTTTGTGTGTCTCAAAGCGTTGCGCATAGTAAATAGAGAATGTCGTCATAAGACGATTCATTAACTATTTTCTTTTGAAAACGAAGAGTCATACAGTATTTAACTAAACACTGATAAGACCGTTTAAAACATTTTATCACTGAAGATGAAAGATTTAGTGACGGTTTTAAGGCATCAGTGTCACTGATAAAAGAATCACTGAAACTGGCATTTAAAAAACGTTTTAATCACTGAAGTAGAAAGTTTAGTTATAGTTTTGATTTTTAAGAGAAATATAAAGATATACTTATAGATATGGTCAATGATAAGAGAATCATTGAAACCATCTTTTAAAACTTTAGTCACTGAAGAAGAAAAGCTTCAGTGAGAGTTTTAAGTCGAAGAAAAGAGAAGAGTAATCATACCTGAGAGAGAATAGATATATTTACTCAAAAGTTCAGTGTCAAAGATGGAGCACTGAATCATTTCACTTACTGAGTGATGTTTAATAGCTAAAGATTAATCTTCAGTGGTTAACATCCCCAATTCGTTGATCAAGATGTTAAATCTTGTCTCATCAAGAGGCTTGGTGAAAAGGTCAGCGAGTTGATACTCAGTTGGAACAAAGTGAAGTTCAATATCACCATTCATAAAATGATCTCTGATAAAATGATATCGGATCTCAATATGTTTGGTCTTGGAGTTAAGTACATGATTGTTTGCAATTGCAATAGCACTAGTGCTATCGCAATAAATAGAAACCTTTGAAAACTGTAGGTCGTAGTCCAGCAGCTAGTTTTTCATCCAAAGAATTTGGTCACAGCAACTACCAGCAGCTACGTATTCAGCTTTAGTTGTTGATGTGGACACTAAATTTTGCTTTTTACTTGTCCAACTCACCAACTTTCCACCTAGAAGCTGACAGCCTCCAGTGGTGCTTTTCCTATCAATTTTGTAACTTGAAAAATCACTATCTGAATAACTGATTAAGTCAAAACTTGAACCTTTAGGGTACCAAAGACCCATATTAGGAGTTCCCTTAAGATATTTGAATATGCGTTTGACAGCGATCAGATGAGATTCCTTTGGTTCTGCTTGATATCTTGCACATAAGCAAGTGGAGTACATGATATTGGGTCGGCTAGCTGTTAGATACAGCAGGGAGCCGATCATTCCTCTGTAAACAATAACATTTACAGGCTTTCCATTTGGATCCTTGTTGAGAGAAAGAGAAGGAGCCATTGGAGTCTTCATAGATGAACTGTTGGATAGATCAAACTTCTTTAGTATGTCTCGAACATACTTACTTTGGTTGATAAAGATACCTTTATCTGATTGTTTGATCTGAAGACCTAAAAAGAATGTTAGTTCTCCCATCATACTCATCTGATATTCTTTCTTCATGCGTTCAGTGAAACGAAAACATAAAGAGGGATTAGTGGAACCAAAGATAATACCATCGACATAAATTTTGACGAGAATGATGTTACCTTTAACTTTCCTAAGAAATAAGGTCTGGTCAATCTTTCCACGAGAGAATTTCTCAGAGATGAGAAAAGATGAAAGGGTATCATACCAAGCACGAGGAGCCTACTTTAACCCATAAAGAGCTTTATCCAACCTATAGACATGGTTTAGATACTTAGGGTCAAGGAACCCTGGAGGTGCCAAAGGTGCCAAATTTAAGCATGGACCTGTCTTTAACACTTTCTTCCTGATCATAGGAAAATCCTAGACCAGTCGTTATCTTGGCGAGGATCTGAGCGTTAATGATCTTAGAGGCTTTGATGGAAGCTTTACACCACCCTTCAATGGTAGCTTTCTCAGCCTTAAGTTCAGCGATTGCTTGCTCACGCTCAGCGATAGCCTTCTCACGTTCAACGGTGATGGCTTGGTTTACAATAACCTGATCCTTAATATTTTCCTTGACAAAGGTCAGTTCTTTGATCTTAGAATGACAAATCTTCAATTGCTCTTGAAGATCAATGTTAAGCATTTATGCTTTCGATTTGCCATTAGGGCATTGTAAAGGTCAACCATCAACGTATCCAGTGCAGAAAGACTAGAAGAGGAAGAGGGTTCATTCAGGGAACATACCTGAGTAGTAGAAGAGGTGGATGGCTCAGAGGAAGTAGATGCTTCTGAAGAACCTTCATCTGCATCTATGGCCATCAAGCAGATATAGGTTGTATCCTCTTCCTCTAAAGATGATTCATCGGAAGACTCAACCCAGTCATGCTCGTTAGCCTTTCGCTGGTTGTTCTTCATCCTGTACTTCTCCTTCAGTTTTAAGTACTTTTCATCTTTAGTCCTAAAGGAGGAGAAAGTTTTAGAGGATGGCGTCGCAGCTTTCTTTGATCTGCATTTGATAAGTATCAATTTATTTGATACTTTTACACTTTTTCTTCACTTTATTTACCCATTTTATTTTCCCAAATTCCACAAATTGAGTCTTTTTGTTTTGTTTTTCTATCTTTTTATATTGGAGCTAAAGTGATGTGATAAACATTTTTACTTCTTGGATGTGTGTTAATTTTTGGGGACAATAGCCTTGTTTCTAGGTACTTCGCTGAAGCATTCTACAGCATGTGCTGCAGGACGATCCAGGGGCATTCTTGAGAATAGTACGGGAATCTTTTGAGGTCACTTCTTCCTTTTGGCAGCCTATCTCCTGCAGTTTTCAAGATCTCATAGGACTAATTCAAGATCTGATTTTTGGAATCTTCTAGATGGTTTTGGCTTTGCCCATGGTTTTGTATAAAAAGGTGGGTAATAGTTTTTACCCATTGGATTTTACCCTCCCTTCCTCGACTATATAAAAGGGGGAGGCTTGGCTTTAGAAGTAAGCAATTTGTTGCAACAATCCTAGTAAAACACTTGATGTAGTTTGGTTCTTTTGATATAAATTAGTAGTTGCAAGTATTCTTTTTCTTTATAATTCCTTTCTATGTTTATTTCTCTTGTCATCTTTTCTTCTCCTAAGTTCTCCTTATTATCCTTTATAATTTATGCAATTAATAGTAGTAGTTAAAATAGTTTAAGTCTCTTTTATAAATCCATCTTTACAAGTATTTCTTCCACTTTCTCTTCTTCTCTCGTGTTCTACTTATTATGCTTTATTATTATTCTTGTAATTAAATTTTCTAGTATCGTTAGTTGTTTTTATAATTACGTCTAGCATTTATTTCTTCTACTTTGTTTTTTTCTTATGCATTATTGTTCACGTAATTAATTTTTCAAGAATGATAGGCTAAAAATATAGCTTGGGTGTTGGGTGAAGTTAAGATAAAGACCGGTCCCGTTTGTAAAAATATAAATTATAAATCTTTACAACTACGTCATTCAAGTTTTTATTGTAAAAACATCATCCATGGGCAAGTTGATCACTTGTTTAAAAGTGTTAATGTCTGTTGGATTTAGAGATAAACCAACAAGCACACGTCAACTTGAATGATATGGAAGTAGGCTCTAGAGAGTTACTTAGAATCGAGGAGACTCGTTTTCGCTCCATTTAGCTTATAAAAGGAATAGTTTGAGCCAATGTCGGGACTCCAGCCTTGCATAGAGATATGAGGGTTGGATCTATGACTGTGTGCCATTCTACATCTCGAGAGAGTACCTTAAAGAAGCTATTAGTTGTAAAAATAAGTCATTTATAAAGCATGCTATAGAACCATGTTGTAGCATGTTGTCTACTTTTAAATCGGTTTAATATCTTAACGAATCCCTTCACCCTAAGCTTTATGTTATTACTTGTTCACAACAGTTCTGTTTAATCAACTCACCACAAGTATTTCCTCGAATTCACCATCTGAAATCATATTTTTATTTTTACTATTAAAACGAAGTTTTATTCCTTTTTCTTCGTGGACGATATTCAGTATTTTTACCACTTTATTACTTGTAAAAGACGATAGTGGGTTGATGAGTATATACTTGCACTAGTCTCCATTTGTTAAGAGTCTGAGAGATTTATTTTATATAATTCTTGTAACAAGTTTTTGGCACCGCTGCCGGGGAATATAGGCAAAAGTTTTTTTTTCAGTAAATCTAAAGATTTGATTTTTCTACCATCTTTTTACTTGATTTTGGGTGTGGTGTATGCCAAGGCTACCGCACGGGGAGATTTTTGAATTGGATCCGGATATCGAGCGAACTTTCAAACAAAGACGAAGAGTGCAAAGAGTATTATTATCTACTCTAACCTCTTCCAATATGGCTGATAATCTACTTCTACCAACTCCCCCACCACTGAATGACGCTGAAAAAATAATCAAACTGGCAAACTCAAAAGACGGAGGAATTATGGACTATGTCATTCCTGTTTTTGATCAGTTAAATTCAGGAATAATTAGACCAGAAATGGAAGCCCTCCATTTTGAGTTAAAACCAGTAATGTTTAATATGTTGCAAACCAACGGTCAGTTCAGTGGTTTGCCATCTGAAGATTCGCACTCACACTTAAAATCATTCATGGAAATAACTGACACTTTCCCTATCCCGGGAGTATCTAACGATGCTTTGAGACTCACATTGTTTCCTTTTTCTTTAAGGGATAGGGCAAAGTCTTGGTTCAATTCCTTGCAACCAGGATTTGTGGATTCTTGGAATAGCGTGGCAAAAAAGTTTTTAAAAAAATATTTTCCTCCCACTCGGAATGCTAAGTCCAGAAACGAAATTTGTCTTTTTAGACAAATGGACGATGAGGCAGTTCCTGATGCTTGGGAAAGGTACAAGGAGCTATTAAGAAAATGCCCTCACCATGGCATTCCATACTGTATACAGCTCGAGACATTTTACAATGGGTTGAATCTCACTGCAAAACAAATGCTCGATGCTACATCAGGAGGAGCTTTCACAGCTAGTACCTATAATGATGGATATGATATCCTTGAAAAGATTTCTAATAATAATGGACATTGGGCCGACCCACGTGCACTAGTACCACGTAAAACAACAGGAGTTCATGACATAGATGCTTTTACAGCATTAACGGCTCAGATGACTACAATGACTAATTTGATTAAAAATTTAACAAATGGTCAAGTAGCACAATCCATAGCCACCACGCATGCTCCAACTGTTGAGTCGGTACAATGTGCGTATTGTGGTGGAGGACATCCCTTTGAACATTGTCCGTCTAACTCCGAATCAGTCAATTATGTGGGGAATCAAAATAGATCAGGACCATTTTCTCAAACGTACAATCCTGGTTGGAGACAACACTCAAATTTTTCATGACACGGTCCTGCTCTAAACCCACCGATGAACAAACCCCAAGGGACCTCACACTTTCAACCTCATCAATCTCAACAACATCATCATGGTCAAGTTCCAAAACCATCACCAAAATACTTTTCATCAATAAACAAATCATTCATCTTTCTAAAACAAGTCTAACCAACAAGCCGAATCTTCTACTTCTTTGGAAGCAACTCTGAAAGGATTCATAAACCAAACCAACACAGCCATGAACCATCAGAACACTGCCATAAGATCTCTAGAAACACAGATTAGTCAACTTGCACTAGAGGTAAGAAATAGACCAGCAGGTACTCTTCCTAGTGATAAAGAGATTCCAAAGTCCATCATAAAAGAACATGTGAACGTAGTGACTTGAAGGAGTGGAAAGAACCTCGTAGAGAGTGAACCTATGAAAAAGTTTGTTGAACCCCAGGACCCAATTGAGATGGATGTCACAACATCTAGTTCAGATATTGTCATACCCACCTTAAAAGATAAGGGAAAATCAATAGAAATAGGACCACTTCCTAAGAAAGCAGACTTTCCCTTGTTATTTCCAAATGAAGGCAAAAAGAAGGTATCATTTCAGGATGATATTGGAACATCTTCTTCTGAAAGTAACAAGAATGTTGAGTCACCAGTCCCTCATAGTGAACCTATCATCATCCAGGCGCCCCCTAGTCAGTCCTCTAAAAAACCAGTCATAGCTCCTATTCCTCCTTATATACCTTTTCCACAAAGGTTGAGGAATCAGAAAGAGGAGTTGCAGTTCAAGAAGTTCATTGATGTGTTCAAACAACTACATATCAACATCCCATTGGTTGAAGCTATTGAACAAATGCCAAGTTATGCAAAATTCCTCAAGGACATTTTGAGCAAGAAAAAGAAGTTGAACGAATTTGAGACTGTGGCCCTAACAGAAGGTTGTAGTGCCCTCCTTTCCAATAAAATTCCCCCTAAACTCAAAGATCCCGGGAGTTTCACAATTCCCTGTTCAATAGGTGGGAAGGAAATTGGAAAGGCTTTGTGTGATTTAGGTGCCAGCATTAACCTCATGATCTTATCAGTATTCAATACCATAGGCATAGGTGAGGCTAGACCAACCATAGTTACCCTTCAGTTAGCAGATAAATCCATAACTCACCCAAAAGGAAAAATTGAGGATGTATTAGTCCAAGTGGATAAATTCATTTTTCCCATTGACTTCATCATTCTTGATTTTGAAGCTGATAAAGAGACACCAATCATCTTAGGAAGACCATTCTTAGCAACCGGTAGGACTTTGATTGATGTTTAGAATGGAGAATTGACTATGAGAGTGAATGACCAGGATGTCACCTTTAATGTTTTCAAATCCATGAAATACCCGAATGAAAAAGATGAGTGTTCTAACTTGAGTGACATTGAGTCCTTGTGCCACAAAGAAAGAGTTCAATCTATGTTAGACTTAAGCAAGATTGAAGTTGTTGAGGAGATAGAACATGGAGAAGAAAGTGAGATAACCCTGTTGCAAGATACCCTTGCTTTTGAGGTATTAGAGAGTGAGAATGGAAAAACCCATGCCACATCTATTGAGTCACCACCAGACTTAGAGTTGAAGTTACTTCCTTTACACTTGAAGTATGCATTTCTAGGAAAAGAAGGGAGATTACCTGTCATTATCTCATCCACCCTAGAAACACATCAGGAAGAGCAGTTGGTAAACTTGTTGAAACTACACACCAAGGCTATTGGATGGACCATCTTTGACCTAAAGGGTATCAGTCCTTCAATATGTCAGCATAAAATCATTTTAGAAGATAAGAGTTTCGCTTCCATTGAATCTGAAAGAAGATTAAACCCAATCATGAAAGAGGTTGTGAAGAAAGAAATTTTAAAATGGTTGGATGCTGGCATAATTTATACGATTGTAAGTAGCTCATAGGTAGGCCCCGTACAGTGTGTCCCTAAAAAGGGAGGTCTTACTGTCATCTCAAATGAGAAAGAAGAGCTCATTCCTACAAGAGTCGTGTCTGGTTGGAGAATTCGTATGGACTACCGTAGACTGAATAAGGCAACTCAAAAAGACCATTTTCCTTTGCCTTTCATAGATCAGATGTTAGACAGACTAGCTGGAAAGGAGTACTATTGTTTTCTAGATGGATACTCTGGTTACAATCAGATTGCAATAGCCCCGGAAGACCAAGAAAATACTACTTTTACATGTCCCTATGGCACCTTTGCCTTTAGAAGAATGCCATTTGGTTTATGTAATGCTCCCGTCACTTTTCAAAGATGTATGATGTCCATCTTTTCAGACATCCTTGAAACTTCCATGGAAATTTTTATGGATGATTTTTCTATATATGGTACATCATATGATCAATGTTTGAAAAATCTTGAAAAAAGTCTTGAAAGGTGTGAAGCAACTGATTTGGTTTTAAATTGGGAAAAATGTCACTTTATGGTGACAGAAGATATTGTTCTTGGTCATCTAATTTCAAAAAGGGGAGTTGAGGTTGATAAGGCAAAACTTGAAGTAATTGAAAAATTGCCTGAACCAACCACCTTTAAGGGTATACGAAGTTTTCTTGGACACGCTGGTTTTTACAGAAGATTTATCAAAGATTTTTCAAAAATTTCAAAACCTTTGTGTTCATTACTTCAACATGACCAAAAGTTTGATTTTAGTGAGGAATGTAGAAATGCATTTTGTTAGCATTAAATTGATGCTAATGATTATCTTAAAAAGTTTTATTAAGCAATCTGGGCTAAGGGTGGATCATCTGAAGATGCTTCTGTGCCAAAACGTCTATGTCTGGAAGAAGACCAGCCGCTGTGATAAATCGACCAAGTATGGACGACCAGAGCCTCTGTAAGAAGAACCAGAGCCTCTGTGAAACGTCACAGAGCCTCTGTGAAGACACAAGTACCAGAGCCTCTGTGAGAGACCAGAGAGGCTCTGGAGGACCAGAGCCTCTCGTTGTATTGACAAGAGCCTCTGGAGTGACAGAGCCTCTCTGGTCTGTCTATCCTCTGGTCTATCCTCTGGTCCTTCAAGACGACTATCTTCAGAGTCCTATTCTGGATAAGGCTAATCCTACTTTGGATAAGGCTAATCCTATTCAGATTATCATGGATTTATGCCTAGATATAGTAGTGTTTCAGGCATAGAAAATATGGAAGAGAGCAAATAGAGAATTCATTGTAAACACATAGATTCAGATACATCTCATGAGAGTCGATTAGGTTCTTGAGAGTTTGTAATTTTCAATTCAATAAAGAAAGCGCCATCGATTTCTATTTCATCTTCTTCTTCTACAAATTTCTCTTGATTTTCATTATTAAATTGTTCTACTGTCAGATCTGGGATATAACAAGTGGTATCAGAGCCAAATCGATTAATTTCTATCGATACGATCTTTCTGGCAGTAGATTCAATTTTATTGAAAGATACTCTCATGAACTGCTTCTTGTTCGACTGCAGTTTGGTCCCAAAAACTCTGATTTCATCATATGTTTAAACGTTTAATCAAATTTCTTTTTAAGGGATTTGTTCATGGATGAATTCGAACCTTTTTGATCTTGAGGTCAATAGAGTTTCTTGGAGTCAGTCGACTTATTGAACTTTGATTTTGTCAAATCTACGCGTAGGCGTTTTAGCAAGAGTTCATGGTACTCAGCCTAAGGCAATCGGTGGTTTATTTGCCAAACATCTATTCTCAATATCTCTTGGTTATGCAAATAAGTGATACAATAAAAAGGCCATATATTCTCTAAGTAACTTAAACCAGAGCCTCTGGTTCTRARGACCAGAGCCTCTGGCCATATAGAATGACTTAGATTTTCTTGGCAAAATTTTTCTTGGTAACCAGAACCCCTCTGGTTCTATTGATAACCAGAGATCCTCTGGTTCAAAGCAAAAGACTTGGAAATTTCAGCCAAGTCCCTTCTTTCTCCCAACCAGAGCCTCTGGTTCTAAAGACTAGAGCCTCTGGATTTTAAATCCTTTGAAACCAGAGCCCCTCTGGTCTTTGCTAACTAAAATCATTTATATGACTAAGTGTTTCCATTCCACCAGAGCCTCTAGTTCTTAAGACCAGAGCCTCTGGATTCAAAGTCTTTGCAACCAGAGCTCCTCTGGTCTCAAAGACTCTTTGCTCTTCACACAGCCATATTCAATATCATTTTTCTTCATCCTTCACAATCAGAGCCTCTGGTTCTAAAGACCAGAGCCTCTGGATTCAACGTCTTTGCAATCAGAGCCTCTCTGGTCTCAAAGACATTCTTTTTCCATAA